TACTTGCAGCCATCTGGTGAGGACTTCGAAGGGCCAGTTGTCTATGCCTCGTACCTGCAGCACCGGTTTCAATAGGGGGCCATAGTGGGGCGCGAGGCAGAGCCACATGGCTCTCGATATCCAGCTCGCTGGGTCCAGTCGAGTTCTGGTTTCTCTGAGCAGTCCTTCTGCCACTGTTTGGGCCTCCGACCCGTTGAGGGAGGTGCGGTCCACATTATGTTGCCTGGTCCTACCAGCCGTTTCGTCGTCTCTCTGCGTGGCGTCGAGCGTCCGTATCAAGGCGCCCAGGGTTCCTCCCCTACTGAATACCTGTGCGGCACCGCTGCCGCCGTCGCTGGTGTGCCCCCCAATCTGCTGTCTGGTGTTCTCGTGCCACGGGGTGGTGGTGCTTCGTGCCCTTCCTGGTGCGGGGGAGGTGGGCCGCTGTCTGCCTGCTGCGCCGCCCCCGTGCCCGCTGGGTCGGTCCTGGGTCCGAGCGTTGCGCAGCCGCGCGCCGCTTTCGACCGCCTGTCTGTCTGCTGTCAACACCGCCTCCTGGAGTTGCCCGCGGGGGTCAAGCCACCTCATCATGCTTTCCTGCAGCGGGGGGCCTATGTACCCACCCAGAAGGGGGGATGCGACCGTCCTTCCGATTTCTGTCGTCAGGTTGGCTGCCGCTAGTCCGAGCCTGCGGCGCGCCCCCCCCAGTGTGGCGACTCCAACTTGCTGCCATGTTTCGCCGGCCCTCCTCGCCAGGGAGCTGGGGGTCCCTGTGGCTTCAAACGCGTGTTCGAGTGTGGCCCTTCCTCCTTCAGTCGCTGCCCCCCATATGAAGGGCGCCACCAGACGACTCCATGTCATGTTTGGTGGAATATTGTCGTTTGCAACCTGGGAGCGGATGTCCTGGATCTCTTGCAACACTCTCCTGACATTTCCTTCACTTCTGTGAGGAGGGAACGCCGCCGGACTTGGCACTGGGGTGCTCGTGGCGCGTGCGCCACCGCCCCCTCTTGCGTCGCCCTGTTGGCGCTCGTCTCGGGCTACCGTGGCCCCGATTCCTCTCGCTCTCGTCCGCAGGGCTATCGCCAGCCGCAGCGCCTCCCCTCTCGGGGTTCCCGGGACCGGGCTGTGCGCTATCAATCTCCCGCTGCCTATGGCGGCCGCCACTACGGCTCTGCACGCCACCTCTTGCTTCAATCGCTTCGGGGCTTGTGTCAGTCGCCCATGTCCTGTCTGCCGGGGTGATGGCGAGGGCCTGGTCGACGAACGCACCCCCGATTTCCCTTCGGAGCCATTCCATGCCCCCGACCTGGAGGCCTTCGAAGCAGTGTTGGTACCTGGTCCTTGGGTCCCGTGAGCCTCGGGGCGGGCCTCTCGCCGCCGGGGGTTGCCCCGGCGCGTTGGCGGTGGGCGCGCCCAGAAGGCACCTCGGAACCCAATCGCGAAGCTGGCCGCCGAGGGGATGTCGTCGCACGGTGTGCTGTAGGTGCGTCGTCGCCTCGATAGCCCATCCCATCGTTGCACAGCAGAGTCTGGCCAAGGAGCCGGCCGCTGCTCAGAGTGCTGGGTCGCCCCATGGTCCTGGTGGGACGGGCATCCGCCCTTCAGGCTGGCCCAGCCTCCCGAGGTTCTCCACTTCCGCCTCAGCCATGTGGCACCAGGCTGCGAGGAGCTCGGCTATCAGCCAAGACGGGGAGAAATTGGTGGTCTCTGTTGGGTGACGCACGTTGTCGATGTAGCTGGCAATGGGGGCGTAGCGGGCTCCCACCCTGGCGAGCTGCACTGTGAGCCTCGTACCCAGTAGGTCCAGGGGGTGTTTGGGGGCTTCCAGCTCGGTGGTGGAAGAGCTGTCCGCGTCCGTGGTCCATGCTGTACCTAGTCTGCGACACACGATGCAAGTGTTCGCGTCCTGTCTCATGCGCCAGCACCCGCAGCTTCCACATCTGTCTTTGGGCTGAAAGAAGTCCCCCTTCAAGATAATTTGGGAGGTGCTGTTGACGGGCCATGGTCCTGTTGGGTTGTCACCTTCAAAATCTCTGGGCCCCAATATGCCAGGGGGCTGCGGTTCAGCGCTGTGAATGGCTCGCGTCGCCCATCCGTCGCGGCCCAGGCCCTGTTGCGGTGTTGCGAGGGCGTCTGTACCGGCCTCAACCCAGCGTCCTCTGCTGATGGCCCAACGTCGGACCTCGCTGCGGTCTGGAATGTGAACGGAGTTGCTGCGGTGCTCGTGGACTAGATGTTTGCAAATCCTGGCTTTTCTTTCTAAGTTCGTGTCAGTAGGTCCATCATCCGCCGCGTCGGGCGCCGGATCATACCGCCACCTGGACATGCCTAGGAGGGTTGGTAGGAAAATATGGTCCGTAGGTTCGCACATTCCTATGTCCACGTAGAGGGCGGCGTGATAAAGAGTGTCATACCCTGCTTCCGCCGCTAGGATTTCCTCCTGAGTAGGCTCATGAACATCGTGTATGTCATCCCCGATGTCTGGGTCTCGTGCGAGACTGGCATATCTGAAGGCGAGTATCTGGACAGGGTCTGGCCCGATTCCACCTAGCCTAGCTTCGTGATCGGAGCCCGTGATGGACCAAACCAGCCATGCGAGGTCTAGGTGAGTCATGGCTGTCGCGACGCTGCGGGGGATCCCTGTGCCTCTCCGTCATGCTTGGTTCCTGTCGGGCTGGTTCTCTCCCCTTGCCGTTGGGGAGTCGGCGTTTCCCGGGGGGTGCCGGAGCCGATGCCGTCTTATCAGCCCAACCAAGCCGTCTTCCATTGCTTGACTGCGGGGGGAAGCCCTGTGCATCCTCCATGGCCCACCCCTCGGCTCGTGTCGCGAGAGAAGGGCTGCGAGGGGGCCTCCCCTCACGGTGTTCCTAGGGCCCATCACTGCGGGGGCTTGGGAGGGGGGGTCGATATTACGAGACACCTCCCTTCCCGCTGACGGGGGAGGCCCAGACTGGGGGTTTCGCCCCCCTTGCTCGCGGCACCCCCCCCCTCCAGTAGGGCTGCGCGCCCTTGTCCTTGCATCTCGGGACGACCAGACGCGTGGCAGGCCCCGACCCCAAGCGTCCGAGTCCGAGGTGCTCTCATCATCGGCACCCCAGTCATGCTCCTCCTCGAACGGGAGCCTGTCATCTTGCTCGTCTTCTCCTGGGTTCATGTCTCCTCCCGAGTCGGCACCTGCTATGCTGCCATGTCCGTGCTCAGCCTCGTGCCGCCCCCCCCGTCAGCGCCGTCTCCCCTCGGGTAAAAGGGCACGGTGTGGGTTATCTCGAGGTCGTCCCCTGAGTCGGGCACCGGGATGGCCGCGGCTCGTTCCACGGCCGCGTCGTCCCGGGGAAGCCAGGCTGTGAAGGCTGTGGGGGAGGGCCTTGTCCCTCTCCTTTGCGCAGCTTCACTATAAGTGGCATTGTCCACCGCTGCTACTTCGGGGGGCACGGGCGCGCGCGCCTCGGCCTCACCAGGGGGCCCACGTGCCGAGGCTAGGCCATTCATCGTCTCGCGAGGGGGAGCTGTGGGGGAGATGCAGCCGATAGCCGCTGGATCTGGTAAGTCGCAAGGCGTAGGAGGAGGAGAGCGAGGAGAAGTGCAGCCGATAGCCGCGTGAACTGGTGAATTTGGAGGAGGGGAAAGGGAAGCGCGGCCAATAGCCGCTGGACCTTCTGAAATGCACGGAAATTGGGGGTCACCGTCGGGGGGCGCAGGATCGCTGCGCGCCGCGTCTCTGCCCTGTGTCTGCGGGTGGGCCGCGTCCGTCGCTGACGGAGATCCCCCAGCATTGGATATTCCGTCGCCCGCACTCTGATCGACCTGGCGCACTCCAGGTGGCGCGGCTCTATAATCCTGCCACCCTGGGGGGAGAGGAGAGGAGGAGGTGCGGCCGATAGCCACGTTAACTGTTGGATCATAGGATGAGAGGGGGGGAGCATGAACGTCTCGGTCGGCGCCATCCTGTGGGGGGTCAGTATCCACTCTGGCTGGGGGGGAGGCTCTGTCAGCTGGGCGAGCTCCCAAGGCTGCCTCCCGAGCCTGCTCCCCATCCCTATTTCCGACCGTTGCGGACCGAGGAGCATCCGCTGCTCGTGCCCACTGTGGCTCGTCCGTTCCGCTGCGAGGGGAAGCGGGAGGGGTAGACGGGACTGGAATGCGCTCAAGGTTCCTCCCAAGGGCATGTCTTTCCACCAGCGGCTGTAAGTTTTCCTCCTCCTCGCGCCCCAAGGGCGGTGTTGATCTCAGTGCTGGCCCGTCCTCGCGTATCGGCGGTGGTTGCACACTCTGCGGGGGAGATGTCTCCATTGGAGCCAGTACACAATCTCCCGTGCCGCGTACTGCTGGATCCTCATCTCCAAGTGCACCCTGGTGCGGATCAGCCATCGCCTGCGTTGCCTTCTGGGGGGAAAGCGGTTCTGGGCAGGAGGGAAAGAAGGCGTCCGGGCGCCCCCTTGAGCGTTGGGAGATTGCCCCGAGGGAGGCAGGCCCACCAGACGGCTTGAGCCAGGCTACGGACTGGTAGGGATACGCGAAGCGTGAAGAATTTCTTTTCGAGCCGGGCGGGCCGGCGTTCTCGCTCAAGTTCGGGCCCCAGGACCCTCACAGATCGATCCGGCTCAGGCAGAAACATGGGGTCGGGGACTCTGGTCGTGATTTGTTGCGACGTTACAACTTTTGCAACGTCGGATCTCAGGGAAGGTACCGATACCGCTGCTCCCCGGACCCCTCCCGGGGTGCGCTCTGACCAGAATATCAAGGCGAGTCCAGCGGTGGCGACGAGGGCTTCCCTGAAGGCCCAAAGAGGCGAAAACAAAACAAAAGGGTATCCATCGGTCGGAAAGTGGGTATAAACATAAAGCAGGGCGGCGTTGAAAGTAGACTCGGCGTCCGCCACCCCGCGAAGAGGAACGAAGAGGGAAAACCGCTCGACTCTTGGAATAGGAAGTCGCCTAAAGTATATGATCAGGGGCTCCACAATACCTACTTTCAACGACCGATGGGTAGCGGTATCTGTACCTTTTCCTCCTCGGAGCCTCTGCACGAACTTGCCGTCCTTCTTGCGGATGACGGCCTCGGTCAGCGCCTGCGCGTACTCGCTGCCCAAGCACAGGCTGGTCAGCTTCGGCAGCGAGACGTCGTCATTCTGCAGGAACGCGAGGGAGGCGTCCCAAAGCCTTGCCATGTGCATCGTGTCGCCCGCGAAGCCCAGGTGCGAGACGCCCTGCTGATGCAGCGCAGAGTTCAGCGAGGAGTAGTTGTGGTATATCTTCTGGTACCCCTCGTCCTCGAAGAACTCTCGGAAGCAGGCGAGGGCGCACGGCTGCCCCACCTCCTCTGAGATCGAGACGGCGTCGACCCACAGGGTGGAGCTGCCTCCGAAGTCGACGCCCTCGCCGCCGTGGACGGTGAAGCAGACCAGCCCGGCGCCTGCTCGGCATGGGTGGAAGGTGTCCCGGTCCAGGTGAAACTGGGTCCCCCACCTCCTCCTCCTCCTCCTCCTCCTCCTCCTCCTCCTCCTCCTCCTCCTCCTCCTCCTCCTCATCCTCATCCTCTCCCTCCTCCTCCTACTCCCACGAAGAGGGGGGGGTCCCGAGCGGTGGCCCGGCTCCCCACAAAGCAGCGCGGCGCGAGCCGGGATCGGCAGCGGCACGCTCGCTCGAGGTGGTCGTTGGCGACCCGTGGGCGAAGGGAGGGAGCGGAAGGAACGGAGTCGGCTACACGCAAGAGTGACCCTGGGTAAGAGTGACCTTTGGTGCGCGGCTAGTTGGGGGCCGCGGGAAGACCAAACCTGGGCGCGCAAGCCGCTGCTACCGCTTCGTTTTCAGCCATCCGAGGGCCCATCTGCGCCCGCACCGAAGGTAACTCCGGCGAAAGGTCACTCTTACGTCCAGTCGACGGAGGGCCTGGAGGAGGGCTTTCCCGGGAACCAGCTCTTCATCCTGAGTACAGCCGGCCCGTATCGTAAGGATGCGCGATAAGGATGCAATTGCCTTGGACGCCCATTTCGAAGCTGTTCGAGCGGGGCGCGGCCAACGAGAATGGCTCAGGGTGGGCCGAGGAGGTAAGGATGCAAGGGTACTCTTGCGAAGGTCGCCGTCCTTACTATGCGGGTTGGCTGTAGCACTTGCTAGTCCCAGAGCCTGGAGAGGGCCCAGAGAAGCCGAAAGCTGTGGACCTCCGAAAATTCATGTTTATACAGTTGTTTCTCCTTCGATCCATGGCACCTCTCCTCCTGAACAAAGCCGTTTTTTCGAAACAAGGGCCACAAACACCTCGACCATTTCCGTGGGACCGGTTTTTTATCCCGAGCCGTTTTGTGACGGCCCCGAGGCCCAGTAAGGGCCCCGAGAGGCCGAAGACGATGATGACCTCCGCCTGGATTCCCCAATCGGCGCTTGCAACGAAGGGGTCTCAGCGGAAATTCTAAAATTTTGCGAAAACTGCCGCCGATTTCGGTCGGCGGCCGGGCTTCCCGCTCCTTGTCGTTGCGCGCTGTGTTTTCTGCTTCACAGTTCCGGTGCACTCTGCTGTTCCGCGTCACAGTCGTGAGGAAATTCGCTTTTGCTTCACAATCGAGTCTGTGCGTGCATGCAGTCGCTTTGCTATGCCTTCTGTTGAAAGATTGCCAATCGCGCGCTCTTCCGCCCACGCGTCCCTCTGGACGCTGGGCTCAATGGTGGTGGTGGTGGCCAGGTTCCCGGGTTCCCATTTCTGGATTCCCGGGTCCTGGTTGCTCGTTCTGGACCGATTCCGGTGGGCGGCGAAAATCCCTGGGTTCCACATTCTGGCTCCTGGGTTTCCGGGTTCCTGGTCGATCTTGCTACAGATATCATGATGGATATCACCATACATCTCACTCAATGGACCGCACGATTGGTCTTACTACCGATCTCAAGATCGATATCACAATCGACATCAACATCGATCACACGATCGATCTCACTACCGATATCATTATCCGTGCAGTTCAATAGATATATATATATACAGATTACTGCCGATATCACAATCGATATTCCTGTCAATCTCACTGTAGATATCACTGCTGATCTCGCTATCGATCTCACGATCCATGTCATTCAATCGGTGGCACTAAAGATAGCATTGTTGATCTCACGATCGAACCTTTGTTATGTTACATGCAATGCTATGTCATGCTAGAAGTGAGAGATCTATAGTGCGATCGATAATGAGATCCATTGAGTGAGATCGCACGATCGATCTCACTATCGATCTCAATGTGTCGACCTCATTATCGACCCCACTATCGATTTCACGAGCGATCTCGCCATTGATCTCGTTATCGATGTCACGATCGATATCACTCAATCGACCTTACTACCAATATCATTATCGATTGCACGATCGGCCTAACCATTGACCATGCTTTCGATATCACTCAATGGATCTCAATATCGATCACACGATCGATCTCACGATCTAACATGGCATAGCATTGCATATATATATACATACATACATACATGCATGCATACATACATACATACATATGTGTATCAGAACAGAAGACCCCCTGGCGTAACGGGACACAACAGAATACCACGGGACACAACGGGATACCATCGGGACACCATCGGGACACCACAGGGCCACTGCCGGCCAGCCTTGGCGACAGCAACTTTTGGCTCGGCTGCGCCCTGGCAACGGCGGGTGCGTTCCACTCGCCCGCCCACGCAGCTTTGCCTCGCCCGCACGCGCGACTCGAACACGAAACCGACATCGATTTCCTAGTGGGGGGGTCTCCGTTTCACTGCGATCTCACCCCCCATACTCCGATACTTATAGATGCATCTGTTTATGGACCGGAAGCCCTTCCTTTTCCGAACTTCTTTTCGGGCATTTTTTTCCTTGAACTGGTGTTCGGTTGGTCTTTGAAGAAATCCAGATTTGGACGCCGGGGAGGGGAGTGGGAAGGTTGGAGAGCCTTCGTATAAGGCTCGCCAAAGAAGCACCCTTTAGACCGCAACATAAGGATATCATATATAGAAATCTCACACAAGGATCCATATTTTATTCCGCCACACTAGGAATCCTTCTGTAAAGCCGCAACAGAAGGATTTGTTTGTTAAGGCTTCCACAAAGAGGAACCCTTATGTAAGGCCGCCACATAAATAATCCTTTTCGTAAGGCCGCCCCATAGGAAATCCTTGTGTATGGCTGCCACAAAAGGAATCCTTTCGTTTCGCAAGGCCGCCGCGAAAAGGAACCCTTATGTAAGGCCACCTCAAAAAGAATCCTTATGTAGGGCCGCCGAAGAAAAATCGTTTTGCAAGGCCGCCACAAACTGATTCCTTTGTTGTAGTGCCGCCACAAAAGAAATCGTTTTGTAAGGCTGCCAGCCAGTTTTCGGCTGCCAACCCCGGAAAATAAGGAAAATAAGGGAAACAAGGAAAACACAGCGAAACACAAGGAAAACATAATACATACTATTATTATTATTATTATACCCCACACCAACCCCCACGAGTCGTAGGAAACTGGAAGGCTCAATCAGCAAGAACTGCACCTCCACTCCATGGAGCTAGAACCCCGAGAGGGTTTTACAAAGACAGCGGGTCACATGGACAGCAGCGGCACCAGCAAAGAGAGGGAAACAGGCGGCAGGGAGGAAAGAGGAAGAGACAAGAGCAGCAGGGAGAGAGGCAGGAAAGCGAGCGAGAGAGGAGGCAGCAGAACCAAAAGGGAGGAGAGCACGGCAACCGGCGCGCAGCAGCAGGGGGACGGGAGACCAGGGAACTGCATGCCAAATGAAACCCAGAAGCTGTATTAAGAAGCGCGGTTCACCTGCCCCGCAGGCGAACACAACGGCATCCTGAAGCGGCCCCAGCTAATATCACGAGTGAAACCCGTACAGTCACGAGGCGAGGAGGAGGAGAAGAGACAGAGGAGAGAGAGAGAGAAGGACAACTAGACGGCACGCAAATCAAGGCAAGCACGAGGATTATGTTGAAGGACAGCGACTCCGCTGCGTATGGCCCAAACGGGGGAGCCAATGTCCTCATGCACGCCAAGGCCAAGCAAAAGCGCCGCCCGGGACCCTAAAACACTTCGCGCCCCCCAAGAAAACACATGCACACAACCTAGAGAATCACGGCCAATCCTCAAAGCCGAATCAGGCGGCAAGGAAAAAGAGGAGAAGAGGAGGGACGAAACGCGTTCGCAAAGCCTATACACAGCCGGAGCCGCACTCAGAAACCGCATTCAGAATGCTACTCGTTGTTGTCGTGGAGCTCACGGTGGAACATAATACATAGTATGTGTTCACATGTTTCCTTTGAGTTGCATTGCGCCTGCTGTGCTTGCACAACTTTCCATTGATTCGCACTGTTTCTTGTTATGTTCTCATAACTGTTCATTCGCTTTGTGCTTCTCATTGTGTTGTCATAAGCTTTCTTCCGTTAGCATTGTTTGTTCGATGTGTTCTCTCACGCGTGTTTTGGCTTTCCTTGTTGTTCGCTGTTTTTGTTCCGTGCTTTTCTTGTTGTCCCCTCCCTAGGCTCTGCCTAGAAGGGTTCTTACTTTCTTGGCTTAAAGGGGCCGGGCAGTGGAACCCGCCCCGGGCGGTTCCCCCAGTCCCCTGGGAGCCAAGCAAAAGCAACAACAAAGGTAAAAGCAAACGCGCGGTTCCCCCAGTTGCGCTCCCTGGGTGCCAAACAAAAGCAAAAGCAAAGGCAAAAGTAAAGGCAAAAGCGAAGGCAAAGCAAAAGCATAGCATAGCATAGCATAGCAAAGCACAGCGCAGCATAACATAGCATAGCAGGCATAGCATCGCATGGCCTAGCCTAGCCTAGCCTAGCATTGCGCAGCATAGCATAGCATAGCATAGCATAGCATAGCATAGCATAGCACAGCATAGCAGACCAGAGCATAGCATAGCATAGCGCAGCACAGCATCCACTATTGCTGTTGCTATACATATATATATATATATACATATATGTGTACTTATATGTGTGTGTGCGCACGCATGTTCCATGCATGCTGTCCGTCTGTGGGCCATATTGAGCCCTTAGTGGGGCAGCTTGAGCCCTTAGGATCCACGAAGGTTTCGCACATAGCACCGGCCGGGAGACATGAAACTCGAAGTAGTATCGCATGTCCTAGATGTTTTCTATATATACATATATATATATATATATGCAAATATATGTGTATATATACAGAACATTCATGTGAAATGCTGCATGTGTGTGAGTGTGTGTGCATGTATTTGTTCAGCATCGCGTCGTAATGCCTTTCATCCTCGTTGCCGTTCAGTCTCAATTCCGCGACTCGCAGAGCCACGCAAGAGCGCGCAGCAGTGCATTGCGTCACGCGGGCATTCTTACGGACCTCGAGTGGCGAGACACGAGGCCCAGCAAGCAGTGTTGAGCATCCTGCAGCGAGCAATTTTCCAAGCAGTGTTG